GGATGGTAATGCAATAAGAACACCCCACCACTTGGTTCAGGATCTGTTCTTCCCTAACACACCCAATACTTGCTTCTGACACACCTCCAAAATCCAGGAAAATTTTCATCCAGACTCTAGTGCTGTGGGAGTAGGTCAAGGCTGCACCCAATACTGTAACCCTGACCTGTGCTCCTTCTCACTTTCACAGTTGCAGAGACTTCCTGTGCTTCTCAAAGGGTAAAACACCTTCAGTAATTTCAGCTATGAGCTTGTAAAAAGCTATGCAGCTTCCATGGTCTCACCTCAGACCTACTGAATGAGAATCTTTGCAGGTGGAGTTCAGGAATCTGCATCTTAACTCATTTCCCCTGTACTTGTAATGCAGCCAGTCCATCACCGGACTATGGACTGACTTTGAAGATTACTGTATTAGAGATGTTGGGAGGTGGGTCTTTAGAAGAGAGCAATAGGGAAATACCCTCTTGCTCCCAACAGGTACAGGGCAAAGGGAATCCAAATGGCCCTTTGGCTCATCTTGGGAGAGATGAATGTCCAGATACACAAAGAGACTATTTTAATGGCAGAGCTGAGCTTGGGGCTGAAGCAGCATAGAAGCGCTTTTGATTGGCTCCTCCCTAGCCAACAATTCAGGAAGTAAATATCAGGTCCAGAGTTTGTCAGCCACTACTCCGTGGAAGCTAAGAGTAATCCTATAACACCTCGGTCCCAGATGGCTACTTCACAAGGGACGTGCCTTCCCCGCTGCATCCAAATAGACCCAGAAATAAGGACTCCCCTCAGGGCTGCAAGCAGCTGCACTACAGAAGTGTGGCAGTCACTGTCAGTGCCTTGCCCATATCCCAAGGATCTAGCCACGAGGTTACCTGCAGATGGTTCTCTTCCATGTTGGCTTCGTGCTTCTCTCTCTGCCTAGGGCTTTCTCTGGACACTGCTGAAAGTTCTATAAAGTACCTGGAGGGACTCTCAACTAGGGAGAAATGGGACTGGTAGTTAAAACCCCAGAGTCCTCATGCCTCAGTGAAATAATTCTGAGGCCTGATTGTCCACAAGAGTAACCTGCTCATAAAAACACCATCTATTGGCTTTCTTCTCCCTATCTTCCTCACTCTTCTATGAGCTTCTTGGAATTAGCTCCCAAATAAACTATTACACCCAAATATTTGTCTCAGGGTTCCATGTTAAGACTCTGGGCAATAGATGGAAAGTGAGAGAACCACTTTGATCAGGGTACCCCAAATCCTGAGATAGCTTTTCTGATTGGAAAGTCTTGTACCTACAAGACTACACGTTCCCACCTGTGAGCACAGACTCACCTACAACTCTGAGAACAACCTTGTCCCTGGGCAGAGGCATTCATGGCATCCCAACAGAATTCTCATGAACACTTGGTTTCAAGTCAACCTCATGGCTGAGCCTGCTTTGGCCTCAAGCTTCAGTTCTAGCCCTGAAATTATGGCTTATTCCTGTGCTCGTATCCAGCATTACATTCCAGTGTCAGTAAGGGAGTCCCTACTGTGCTTCTCTATAACTGAGTTCTAGGACTCAAATTTGATTCCAACACATAAGTAACTCTTTTACCCTAGACAAGGAAGTAAAAGTTAACTTGGTCCATGTCACTCAAAAGGAGGGAATTAAAGACACTGATTGGATTCAGTCAAGTCAATAGGCATTTGAATGACCAGTGCATAAAAACACCATGTTAATCAATATATGGACACACAGCATGGAGAATTTCTAGTACAGAAGAAGATAGAATACAGACATTCAATGGCATAATGTAGGTAAAACTGGAAAGGTTCCCAAGAGACAGACCAAGTACAAATGGACAGGAGAAGAAAGGGGAGCAGGTAAGGTTTCTGGGAGAAAGTCATGGCGGGCATTAAAGAGGGGTGGCATCAGAGAGGTGAGGACCACGGTCCATGGGAGAACTGGTGAAAGCAAGCAGAGTCTCTCCATAATATGGGTACTGAGCTCAAGAACTTCCTCTAAGACTGATGATGGCTATCAGGGTCCCCATCATAGGGATACTGGATTAAAGATCTACCTCTAGCACTGACGAGCATAAGCCAGTCTCCATCAAAGGGGTATTGGTAACAGCAAGCAGTGTCTCCATCATAAGGGTACAGGGTTCAAGTGATGCCTCTAGGACTGGCAACAGCTATCAGGGTCCCTATCATAGGGGTACGGGGTTCAAGAGCTCCTCTACTGCGGTCTGCTTGACCTTGGGATGTGCAAGCCTAAAAAAGTCACTGAACTAGATGAACTCTTTGATTCCTCTTATTCCTCTGATTAAATCTATGATTTTAGCTGCACTTTTTTGAACAAAAAGTTTTCTAGTTTTTCTATTTCTGAGATTTGTTGTCACCACTATTCGTTCAACAAACATATATTTACTACCTACCAAATTAAAGGCACTGTGCTGGGTTCTGGGGAATCGGTGATGAACATGAAAAATGTGTTTCCAGCCCTCACTGAGCTTATGATTTAGTAACAGATATAGAAAGGCAAACAACAATTACAAATCAGAGGTAAGTGCTTGTATACAGAAAGTGTAGAGAGTTATGGGAGCATAAAATGAGAATCCTAATGCAGACTTCATATGCAATCATAAATGGAGGAAGTTATCTCAAAATCAAGAGTTCAAGTATGAGTGGGGATTAGCCAGACAGAGCAAAAAAAGAGGATAATTTTAGGCAAAGGAAATGAAAGATGGAAAGGTTTTAAAATGAAAAAAAAATGGGTCATATTCAAGGAGAAAACTGAATCCCCATAATGCTGGAGAGGTAAGCACATGATTTGAATTATCTTGAGCACTGGGGGTGGAGGGAGGGCTTTAGAAGGATTTTAAATAAAGATATAATATGATCAGATTTGCATTTTAGAAAGACCCTGTGGTTACAGTGTGAGAATGGGTTAGAAAAGGCTGAAGGAGAGAAAAATGAACACATAGGCCATTGGGATAACAATGGCTGGACCAGTGACGTGATGGAAAGGTTGGAGAGACATGGGCAGAAGATGGTAAGGAGGTAGAATTAACGGTACTGGATGTCTGATGGAGATGGGAATGAAAGAGAAAGGACACAGCTATGATAGCCGGTTGTGGACAGAGATAGAAACAGGTTCGTTGGGGCCATTCACAAGAGACAGCCATAGAGAGGCAGGTATTATAAAGGAGTAGGGGTGATAATGAGTTCAGCTTTGGGTATGTTGAGTTTGAGGTGCTTATGAGACACTCAAGTGGAGATGCCCAAGGACATAAGAGCCAGAGATAAAGATTCAGGAGTCATTTGTATCTAGATAAGAATGAACACCATAGGAATGGATAAGATGCTCCCAAAAGGTTGTGCCGGACAGATCTGGGTTTGAGTACCTGTTCTGCTACTTAGTAGCTACGTGATCTTAGAAAATCTATCTTTGCCTCTCTGGTTTCTCATTTGTATATTGGAGATAATACCTCATAGGGCACAGTTATGGTTAATGGGATCATGCAAGACTCTTAATTCAGAGTCTAGAACATAGCGGGCTCTCGGTAAATGCTAACTCTTATCAGTGCTGTCATTGTTGTTACCGTTAAAAATAAAAAGGGCATAACATAGAACCGCAAGATTCACAATCAGGCATGGGGAAAGCTGAGAAAGAGGAGCTTGAAAAGGAGCAGGCAGAAAGTCAGAAAAGCCTAGAGAGTGTGTCACAGCAGCCTGGGAGAGAGTGTTCCAAGAAGGAGGAAGTGGTCAAAACAGCCAGATAGGACCATCAAGAAATGGCTGAGAGCAGTCCTCCTGTTTTAGCCTCAAGGAGGTTTCTGGTGCCCTTGCAAAGACGCATTTTAATGAGGTAGTGGGAGCAGACGCCAAGTGGCAAGGAGTGAAGAGTGACTGGAGCAATGAGTGGAAACAACCTTCTATGAAACCCGGCCGAGAACAGGAGAGAGGAGGGAAGATCTGAAGGGGCTACATATCAAGGAAGTTTTTAAAGATGACGGAGACTTAAGTGTCTCTAAGCACAGATAGGAAGGAGCCAGTATACAAGGAGAGAGAGCTACATGAGGTAGAGAGGGGATGAGACCCAAAGCAGAGGAACGGACTGGCCTTCGCCAGAACGAGGAATGACATCTCCCCTGCCATGACAGGAGGGATGGAGGAAAAAAGAGGAAAGCTGCAGGTAAGTTAGAGGTTTAGGTGCAGGAAGCCGAGGGACATAGGAAGTGTGGTCATTGGCTTACTGCAAGAGGAGATAGAATAATCAGAAAAGGAGAATCTTTGAAATATTAAACGAGAAAGAACTGCCGACTATGATTCCCAGGCAGGATTGACGTTCTCCAGACCCTTCAGCAGTTCAGGTCTAGACTGATCTACATTGGCTTATGTTTGGGATTCAGGACAAGAACAAAGGAGTGCTTACAATGATGAACCATTGGGGTGTGATCTGGCAGTGGAGAAGAGTTCAGAGGACAGAGCTAGTAGAGGAAGAGAATGTAGCCTAGAGGCCCAAAAGGAGCTCAAAGAGGGGGAGAAACATAGTTGGGAAAAGTCCAGAAATAAAAGGTTGTTATTAGAAAGTAGGATGAGACTTGGGGTAAAGTAGATCATGAGCGGAAGTCTTCAATGAATGAGGGAGAATGCCTGGAGCTCAGTGGTTGTAGAAGTGAGAGAGGACGATGTGGCTAAATGAGCCATCTGGCTGTGGGGATGGGGCAGGGCAGGTCTACAAAATGATGAAGGAGCAATGACTTAGAAGTGCATGGGAGCCAAGACATAATCTTGAGGTACCTGGAGAGTGATGGAATAACAGCCTTCCCTGAAAGTGCTGCAAGCTAAGGCGGGGTCTGGAGAGCCCAGGTGAGTTAAGGGAGGAGCTGGAGGCTAGGGCTAGGAGAGCCACTCTCACAAGCAAGGGGGAGGGATTGGAGAGAGAGGACCCATGGGCAGACTGTTACCTCTCTGTGGTTTTATCCACTCTCATAAGAGTATAAATTCTTCCTGAAGAAGAATGAGAAGATGGAATTTCCCCTTGGGTCTCTGGAAACTACCAACTTTCGTCGCTTCACTCCGGAGTCGCTGGTGGAGATTGAGAAGCAAATTGCAGCAAAGCGGGCAGCAAAGAAAGCCAGAGACAAGCAAGGGGAGCAGAAAGATGAAGAAGAGAAGCCCCGGCCCCAGCTAGACTTGAAAGCCTGCAACCAGCTGCCCAGGTTCTATGGCGAGCTCCCGGTAGAACTGGTCGGGGAGCCCCTGGAGGATCTGGACCCCTTCTACAGCACACACCAGGTAAGGGCTGCTCTCAGCTCTGGGAGAGGGAGTCTCCATCCCTTCCGGCCCAGGGAGTCCCTGCACCCTGGGTGACGTGGCAGTCTGCTGCAAACTCAGTTAATGAAAAAAAGATCTTACTCGCCTTTTTGACACCTTCTTTGCATCTTCCATGGCATTTATGATAGAGGCTCATTAAAACCAGATCCAAGGAAAGCCAGCTGTCCCCTTAGAAGAGCCCTGGCCTGGGACCTCCAGAGGTGTTGGCTGTCTCTGCATACCGTCCTCTCTCCTCAAGAGCACAGATTTTGAGGTTGGAGGAGGGTGGGGAATGGGGACATAAATCAGGATGATTTAAACCAGTGGTCCTCAAAGTGTGGTCCCAGGACCCCTAGAGTTCCCAAAAACCTTTTAGTGGATTAGTGGGTTCATAAGCTCAATACCATTTCATAATAATACTTAGATATCCTTTGTCTTCTTCAGGCTTAGAACAGGTTTGAACCCTTGCTGAGAATTTGCATTTCCACCCCAGATATACTAAATCAGAATCTACATTTTAACAAGCTCTCCAGGTGATTCTTATATACAGCAAATTTTGAGAACCACTGCTCTACAAGTGGTTCTCAGAACTGGTCCCTAACCAGCAGCATTAGCATCGCCTGTGCTTGCTGGGTACGGTTGGAAGCCCTGGTTTTCTCTCGTCGGCATTCCCATATGCACATAGGGCAGTGAATGTGCAGTAGAGGTTGTTGACAGGGGTCCAGGTTACTGACAGGGGTCACACCATCACTCTTACAGCTACTGGAACGTGTGCTCAGATGTGCCTGTGTTTTAAAATGTCTTCAGTTTGAGTTTCTGAAACAGCAGATGTCTGTATCTATATCTCCCCCGTAAACTCAAACTCTCTGAGGTCCTCGGTAATTAAAAGTTTGAGAACCACTGGTTTAAACAAGAGCTGCTCCACGGCAATTACCCTGCCTGTATTGCATCTTGAATGTTCCACACAGCAGAAAAAAATGGCGTATGTGTGTTTAGGAGCTGGGAGGGGCAGTAATTGGCCATCTCAAATATGGATTGTAGGAAAAAAAAAAAAAGGTACTGGGATATCTTTCTCCCTCCTCCCCCTGTCAAGATCCTTCGCCCTCCAGGAAGCAGGAGAGGGCTTTAGAGGAGGGGTCTATCTAGGAGGTGGAGAACAGAAGAAGCATCACAAGGCCAGGGAGGTCCTCTAGTCACAAGAGGAATTAAATTCAACCAAAAGGCCACCTTCCTGCTTCCAGAATCCTCTCCCTGGGCCTGATGCTTCTGACCAGCTCCAGGGCTGGCTGCCTGGCCAGAGAGCCCTCCCAGAGGGCTCAGCTTGGCAGGGCTGGGATCTTTCCAGGACAGTCGGGATAGAGCTTTCAGTCCCCGATCTCCCGAGCGCTGTGCACCTCCAGGTGGCTCTTGTTGCCTTGTGGTGCCCAGAGCCCATCTTGCTCATGAGCCTGAGATGATGGTGCTCACGCTCCAAAGCACAGTGGTGTGAGGATGCTCGTTTTGTTTTGTTTTAGACATTTATGGTGCTGAACAAAGGGAGGACCATTTCCCGGTTCAGTGCCACCCGGGCGCTGTGGCTGTTCAGCCCTTTCCACCCGATCAGAAGAACGGCTATCAAAGTGTCTGTCCACTCATATCCTTTGTACGGTCGCTTCTTCCTCAGGTTAGAATCAGGCCTCGTCCAGGGTGTCCAGTACCTTCTTTAAAGGTTGTCAACAGAGCCTTCCTCACGTGAATCCTGAGGCAACGGTGCGCTTAACTGGGAAAAAGTGTGCCTTTAATGCGCCCGATGCCCCAAAGCAGCCCCAAGACACAGAAGAGTGTTCACACAGCCCAGACATGTGAGGTTTGGGCTCCTCAGGCTAATGCGGACATAACTTAGAAACTGTCCTTTCTATGAAGGGAGCTTTGGCTGAGGTCCCCAGGAACATTCTCACTGTAGGATGTAGCCTGCTGTCCCCACACCCCTGCTCACAACATAAGAACCAGCAAGGGACCCCAAGATGTCTTTGGGCAGATAGGATAGGCATGGGTTGTTACTGTGTGTCTGAGCCAGGCTGGCCAGTGGCTGCTTCTTGGGCAAAAGAGCAGTACCTCCCAGAGGGCAAAGAGAATGGCCTGTGATGGGCAGGGCAGACAGTCTCAATAGGGCCCATTGGCCATGGGACACTGCCAGCATCACAAGATGCCCCAGGAATACCAGCATGTTAAAAAGGTCAACAGCTCAAGGTCCATGCCATTGGGGAACGTAACGATAAGACCCACATTGGTCAAATATCTCTATTCTATTAATTCCTTTAGCTAGCTTCAAAACGCTGCCTTCAGCTTTTGGGGGTTTTCTTTCTTTTTTTTTTTTTTTTTTTCCCCAAGGCAGGTCAAACTAGTAGAACAAAGAGACTTTGGCTTGGTTTCCAAGGATCTTCCCTGGTGACTGTCCAAATTGGAAGTTCCTAATGACAAATTCAGCCCTGGCTTCCCCACGGTTGATTTGCAAAAACAGCCTTGCCTCAGCTGCCTGACAGATGGTAGCCAGCCTCTTCTTACAAGTCTGTAATAAAAAAAGGAGCTCGCTCCCCAATCTGGGGAAGCTTGTTGGGTTGCTGGACAGTCTTCAGTGAGTGGGAAGCCCTGGCCAAGGGGCCTCTGTGCGCTCAGCATGTAACTACATTGCTAATAAAGTTTCGTCACGTTTTTTCCTTTCCATATTTTATCTTTAAGATTGACCAGGAGGAATTATATTTTCTTAACTAAAGTTTAAATTTTCAGATTCCATAGAAGAATATTTAATCAAATAGTAGGCTCTCATTTGCTAAATACCTCCTAAGTGTCAACACTGTCGTAGGTACAGAAACCCTCAGAGCAGGTATTAACATCCCCATTTTGTGGATGATGAAGCCAAGACTCAGAGGCATTAAGTGAATTATTCCAGGTCACACAGCTGGTTAAGAGGACAAGCCTGCCTCCTGTCTACAGCAGTGTCTGTAGTGAGGAAATCAGCAGTTAATAAGAATGAATTCGGGTAACTTATTCTCTCAGTACGTCATCTCTACTTGGGATTTAAAATACACATATATGCAATTACCTAAAAATTACAAATAAAGAGAAACAGCAAACATGCAAAATCTTCTCCATGGCTCCTGCTTGGATTACATCTAGATAAGTAAGAAACAGCTAATGAAAAATAAAATCCCTTTGAAGAACTAAGTGACCAGTGAATATTCTTTTCATCTTGAGATTTGATGAGGAAATAATTGCTGGTAGAGCCACAGCTGGACAGAAAAGCTGCATTTATAGATTTAAAGCTCATGAACTTGGTAGCTCCAGCCCCAAAACATACTCTTCAAGGTATACAATCCTCAGGGTCATGTTATTCATATTTCATCAAAATTATAATTCTAATCCCATTTGCTATGATTGTTTTCATAAGTAACATCACACATAATATATTATATTACTTGTACCATTTTGTGGCATTTGGAGATATGATTTTAATTGAATCCTCAAGCTGACATGGTCCCCTATCTGAATACATTTCTTAAACTAATTGTAAGTCAACAGGAAAATGTGGCTTAATTAGTAGAATTTCCCTTTTCAAAATAGACATGTTCCCAAGTACCTGTAAAGCAGGGCACGTAAAAGGCATTTAGGTTGGAATTGTGAAAGATGAGCGCTGCCCTCTCTCTGGGGGTCAAGTTTATCTTCAGACTTTGGTTTTCTTTAGGAAGTAATTAAGAACTCAGCTAAGCCTCAGGAAAATGTCCAAGTGGAGAAGTTTGTCTGTGGACTTTCCCCACCAACATTTCTTCCCATTGGTGTCCCTCCGTTCCCAGTGTCTCCTTCCCTTCTGGTAATCCCTTCGCCTGTCCTCTGCTCTTGAGTCTCCTCACTGGATATTCAGCGTTCCCCAGGACAATCCTACTTGGAATGTTCTCTGTGAGCCAGCATCTCACTTCCCCGTACCTGCCTCCGTCATTCCGAGACAAAAGCCCATCCTCTGTGTGACTGATCTCAGCTGAGTTAGGAAAATGGTCTGACTACACTAATCCCCATGAAAGCTTGTACCTTTCCCTTATCTTTAACTTTCTGGAAAGACTCTTTCTGTTTTTCAGGATAAAAGAGACATTTTCTAGATACAATTTCAGTCCATCTTGTCTTGTAAAATGAAGGCATCAGTGCAGAAGGGTATTTTGGGAAAGGGATTCTGTTTCCTTCCATCTTGCTCAGGGGTCTGTTAGCAAACAGTTCTGAGTTTGAGATACAAACTCAGTCAAACCATAGTTGACTACTTGTGTGACCTTGAAAATGCTATTTAACCTTTGTCAACTTGTTTTCTCAGCTCCAACATGTAGATAATAATATCCACCTGAGCAGTTAAACTCCTCAATCATCTAATAGCTATATTAGAAATAATGTGGATCACGTGCACAGTCCAGTGTAGGCATTCAGGAAATGTTAGTGGTTATTATGTCACAAGACCATAAAGTTGATACTAGCTAAGAGTTGTGAATTTAATCATTCATTTTCAAGGTGATCATAGATGAATACCAGGGAAACGTGGTGACTCTCAGCTTTTCCTTAACACGGGCCTCTCAGATGGTTCAGTTTATTTATTACGGTCACTATTTTGGTCAACTGTGTGTGCATGACCCAAACGGATTTTCCAGATAAAATCGAGTGAGTAGATTTGCTGTCATTATTGTGCCTTCTTCTCTTTGTTGACTTCTTTTTCTCTTCCTTCACTGGGTGGCCTTGCTCTTGTTTATCCTGCCAGGTCCTCGTTTGGGTGATGCTGAATCCTATTGCCCACTTGACTTTGTAATGACTGGGTATCCTCTTCTCTGTGGACTTTGTTCCATAAATACACATACAATTTACAGCTTCAAACAGATCTAGATTGGTGGTTCTCAATCTTGACTGCACATTGAAATCCCTGGGGAGATTTTGAAAATACCGATGCTTGGGGGTCCCCCTTCCTCTTGCCTTGAGAGACTGATTTAATTGGCCTGGGGTGGCCTGGCCAGATGAGCTCCTCACCCCTCAACACACACTCACCTGTGAGGTGCACACGTGAATGAAGTCTCGGGACACCCTACTCTGAATGAGGCAGGAGCAAAGCTGACACAGAACTGAGAACATGCGGTTCTGGAGCAGACTTGGAAAGTAACTCATGAATGAAGCTATGTAGGAATCAGGGTTCCTAGGCTTCATAGTGACCTTAAATATTCCTGAGGCTATTCCGTTCCCCTGGGTTAGCGGATGGAACCTCTGTAGTTTCAGAATGTGAGTCTGTCTTAGTTATCTAGTGCTGCTATAACAGAAATACCACAAGTAGACAGCTTTAAAAAACAGAGATTTATTCTCTCATAGTCTAGGAGGCTACAAGTCTGAATTCAGGGCACCAGCTCCAGAGGAAGGCTTTTTCTCTGTCGGCTCCAGGGGAAGGTCCTTGTCATCAATCTTCTCCTTGTCGAGGAGCTTCTCAGCGGAGGGATCCCAGGTCCAAAGGATGCAGTATTCTCTTGGCTCTTGTTTCTGGGTAGTATGAGATCCCCTGTCTCTCTGCCCAGTTCTCTTTTATATTTCAAAACAGGTTGATTTAAGACACAACCTAATCTTGTAGAAAGAGTCCTGCCTCATTAACATAATTGCGTCTATCCTGTCTCATTAACGTCATAGAGGTTAGGATTTACCACAGATAGGATAATTATCTCAGATCACAAAATGGAGGACAACTACACAATACTGGAACTCATGGCCTAGCCAAGTTGACACACATTTTTGGGGGACACAATTCAAGCCATAACATTGTCTTTTCCCAAAACGTCCTGCACCACCCCATCTGGGAGAGACGCCCCCACCCCTGCTCAGACCTGGGGTACCCTCGGGTATCGTCACAGCAGCTCTACAGGGTTTTCTCTTTTTCCTCGTGTGTGTGCTGATTATAACAGTAATACTTGCCACAGTAGAAAGTATGTTCTATTTCTATTAGCTGATTAAGACGAAAAATCCTGCAGGCATCTTAACTGATATAGAAAAACCATTCGCTAAAGTTCAATATCTGTTTATGATTTAAAACTCTTAGAAAAGCAGGACTAGAAGGGACTTGCTTTATTCTCATAAAGGATACCCATTAAATATAAAAGTAGCAAACATCATACTTAATTGTGAAACATGGAAAGCTTTCCCTATAAGGTCAGAAATAAAAATACAGAGACGTTCTCATCAGTTCTATTTTACTTTGCAAAGGAGTTAGTCAGTGTAGTAAGGCAAGAAAAAGAAATAAAAGGTGGAAGAATAAAAAAGGAAGTACCCAAAATGTTGTGATTTACAGATAATGTGATTGTGTGTTTAAAAAATTCGACATAATATAAAGATAAACTATGAGAATTAGTAAAAGAGTATAACAAGATAGCTGGGTACAAAGTAATATATGTAAATCAGCTGTATGTGTAAACACTAGCAGCAAAGAGTAAATAAATAGTTTTTTAAAATACAATTCAACTACTTTTTTAAAACATCAAGTATGTGTGAATAAAATTATCAAAGTATGAGTGAGATCTCTACAAGGAAAATTATAAAAAATGTTGAGTGAAATTAAAAAAAAATTACTGGAGAGATATTATGTTCTTGGATTCAAAGTCTCAATATTGTAGTGACTTCCCAAAATGACTAATAAATTTAATGTATTCCCAATCAAAATCTCAACAGACTTCTTTAAAAACAGAACTGAAAAACTGACTCTAAAATTTACTTGGAAATGCAGAGAATATATTACAGCCAATACACTTTTGAGAAGGAAAATTGGTGGGAAAACTTGATCTGCTCGATATCAAGATTTACTATTGAGCCCTGATAACTGGAGCAGTGTGCTGTGGTATAAGGTTAGAGGAGCCAGTGGAACAGAATAGACAGACCATAAAGAGACCAACACCAATACAGACAGTTAATTTGTGATAAAAGTGGCACCGCAGAACAGCAGGGAACAGGCGGTCTTCAATAAACGATGCCAAAGAATTAGGAATCCAAATGGAAAAATTACATTACACATCCAACTTTACAGTGCACACAAGAATCAATTCTAGGTGGATTCTGACCTAAATTTCTTTGTGACAGATAGAGAAATAAAACTTGTAGAAGGAAAAAGAGGTGGTACTATCTCCACGACCTCAGGTTAGGGAAGATGTATTACATATGACCCAAGAAGCACTAACATGACTAATGCATTTTTACTACACTAAAATTAAGAATTTGAGTTTGTCAGGAGACATTCAGAGGGTGAAAAAGTAAGCTTAGTGAGTAGAAGGAGATATTTGTAACATATATACCTAAAAAGTGCTTACACCAGAGTACAAATCAATTAGAAAAAGCCAGAGCAACCAATTTAAAAATGAGCAAAAATCTTGAATAAGCACTTCACAAAAGTAGAGATCCAAATGGCCAATCAGCATACGAAAATATTCCTAGTCTTTTTCATAATCAAGAAAATGTGATTTAAAATCACACTGAGAGATTATTATCCACTCATCACATGAGGACGGTTTTAAAGTATGGGGATACCGAGTATGGGGCAGGATGTGGAGCAACAGAAAGTCACACACTGTGGTGAGTGTAGACTTGAGCAACGTCTTTGGGAAGCAGCTGGCAATAGTAAAATGGAAGATATGCATACCCTACGACTCTTTAATAGCACTCTTAGGTACACACACTCAACAGAAATGTGTGCTTGTGGGCACCAGGATACGGGGACAAGAAAGTCTATGAGCATTGCTCATAAAAGCCCCACACTGGAAATAACCCGAATGTCCATAAACCTCTGAATAGACTAAATATTTCTGCTATATTCTTAAAATGGGATAATGTACAACAACGAAAATGAATAAAGTATAGCTACACACAATAAATTTGGCCGTGGGTGGTAGAAACAGTTAATGCACTTGGCTGCTAACCAAAAGGTTAGAGGTTCGAGTCCACCCAGAGGTACCTCAGAAGAAGAGCCTGGCAATCTACTTTCAAAAAAATCCGCCATTGAAAACCCTCTGGAGCACAGTTCTACTCTGACACACATGGCGCCGCCATGAGTCAGAGTTGACTCGACGGCAACTGGCTTTTATGCGCAATGAGGATGAATCCTAAGAAAATAATATTGAACAAAAGAAGGCAGACACCAAATTACATGCATGATTCCATTGTTACAAAATTCAAAAACAAGCAAAACTAAGCTATATTGTTTAGGGATGTTTAGTGGTAAAAATACAAATAAAGCTAGGCAAGAAAGAGTACCATAAAAATCAGGATAGTACTAACCTTTAGGGTAGAGGAAAGAGGATGTAATTGGGAAGGGGCTTGTGGAGTGCTGGCAGTGTTCTATTTTGTGACATGTATTCACTTTACAACAACTAATGTATGTCTCATGCACTTTTTTTTAAAATTCATGTTACATATCATAATAAAAAGCTTAAAAAACAAAGTAACTTTTAAAAAATGATCATTGGATAAAATGAAGAATACTGAAAAACACATCAGAAGACAGTAACCAGGTAGAGAAATCACTGCAATTATTTTAGCTGATGGTCCTTAGATATATAAGACAATCAGCTAAAAATACATATTTTAGATAGCTGAGATCATATCCCAAGTAAAACTTCCATCTTTCTTTTGACCTTTTAATACACAGCAGTTTCTCTCAGAAGAATTATTTGGGGAGTCTGGTTAAATGTGGAAAATTACTGCGTATGTTTTACCCCAAGCCTCTCAAAATGCCAATAAAATGACAGAATGGTATTAAGAACGGCATAAATACACACGAACAAAGAGAAGAAGCAAGGAAAGCACAGAGGACAAAAGGTGTCAAAACAATCTCAGAAGACGGAAAGTGGGCGGAGGAGTGGTTCATGACTTAGCAGATCAGAGGATGCTAAACGACAGTGCCTGCAGAGGCGGGTAAAAATGAGGATCCAGGCGTTTTACCCCATACAAGCCCCAGAGCCTGGGGCCTGGGTACTGCAGCTACTGGGAAAGGAGGAGGTGAGTCTCTGAGATGAAATCAGAGTGACTGGTTGAAAGTCTGGAAATGGAGCAATAGACCCCCAGATCCTTCCCTCCACTCTCTGTAGCCTGAAGACAGCCTTATCCCATCCTCACTGAAAACTAGACCTAATTCTCCATAGAAATCACACCAGTGAGACTCTAGACCTGAGAATAAAAACAATCAAAAATGTTGACATCAAGCCGATTCCTACTCATGGCGACCTCTTGTGCTTCAGAGTAGAATTGTGCTCCACAAGGTTTTCTTGGTTGCAATCTAACAGAAGCAGATTGCTAGGCCTTTCTTCCAACGAGCCTTGGGTGGGTTCAAACCACCAACCTTCCGGTTAGTAGCTGAATGCAAACTGTTTGTGCCACCAGGGATAGAGACCTCAGAATAACAGGTACAGCAAAGTGTTAGTGAAACAGGGACTAAACCCAAAAGGGTTAAGCGTAAGTCTACAACTCCACACTGAGTCTTATAGCCTCCTTACCCCATCCTGCTCCCAGGACACACACACCTGGGACAGCTCACCAGGCAGGAGACCGGAGGACTTTTCTCTGGAAACTATGAACTTCACCAGAGGAGAGACCTACTGACGTTGACATTTGAGGCTCCCCAAAGGAAAAGCAGTCATGGTCCAGACTAT